TACTCCAGAAACCTCAAAAATCTGCCTGTTTCTCAACTGTTTGTTCAAAATTACAAATCAACTATTGAATATATATGAATGAGTGCATTCATAGCAGATGAAAACAACTTCTCTATCAAAAAGTGTACGTATATAACCTGCTGCTGGCTTAAGTGATTTATTTGGAAATTAGTTATATATAAATATTTAGAAGAAAGTTCTAACAAATGCAGCTAGGTGCTCCTTTCCATTTGGCTACAATTGTTCTGTCACACATTTAGGTCATTGTAAACATGCCAAGTACTGAACACAGATGTCCTAAAATGCAGATTTTTTTTCCCTACATGCAAATATCATGCTAAACTAAACAGCTTTGAGGCTGTGGAAACATGTAAACCAATGAGATCATTCATTCCATTTTAATACAATTAAACTGTATTATTAGAAAGACAAAGGGGGGTACCAACTCTGATTAACAGCACAAAATAATATTTTCAAAGACTTGATGGAAATGCTTACATATTTTCACATCTGAATTTGAGATATTTGTAAAGTTGTGTATCAGTGTTCAAAAATACAATCATGAACACTTCAAATCCCATGGTGATGAATTTCTCATACAACGTAAGAACAATTTAATTCCAGAAAATATTGCTTACCTCTGGTAACCTCTTAACATTCCTGTAAAATTCATGTAAAACGTCTATTCAAGGCATATCCAAAGTAAATTGAATGCAGTTCTTGAACCATTTGGAGTATATGCATGGTTTTAGGCTTCTCTGAAAGATAACCTCTGGAGTGTCTAACCCAAAAGTCAGAATGATTGTAAGTGCTACTGGAATTGATTAATATAAGTTTAAACACACCAAAACTAATATATTTTTCATTTCCGCTTGAAAATGTTTGCTAACAAATGCATGCAGCCAACTATAGCTGGGACTTATTAGCTGGAAAACACTGTTGGGTCACAGCATAAAGCCTTACCTATGCCATGTTTAAATTTCATACCAATACCATGAAAAATTACTATTTTAAACAGGTTCACACAAGTGAATGTCTTAGCGTATTATTTCTAAAACAGCACTGCCCTTTGGCGCGATGCTGCTGCATCGCTCCGTATTAGCTGGTAGCTCGACGCAGATGTGTTTTTTTGCTGGTAGATCATGAACTTCCTACTTAAAGCTGGATATCGTTATTTTCAGAATTTTATTGGCTACACAAAGTGCCAGTCATCGGCACAATTGCTTGCAATTGGCTCGGCCTACCCACGAAATAATAGGGGCTGGCCCTTCCTTACAGCGCGGGCTCTCGCTCGCTATTGAAGGTTGTGAAAGGGACATGTGAGCTCCTATTGGGTCAGATTTGGTGTCACTTGAAATGATATATGAAACATGCAGCAGCAGTCTCTGGGGATTTATTGATGGAATAATGTGTTTTGGACTAAATATTTTTACTGGATTGGATCATCTGGAACTTTAACAACGTAACAAGACCATTTTTGTTGGATTATAATCGATCGGTGGATTACTATGAGGCTTCATAGGGGAGTTGCGTCAATTTTGCTTGTACTGGTTGGTCTGAAAGAAGCGTTGATTGTTCCCGCTGTGGTGATTGTATCTTGAAATGGTTTGCACTGGTCGAATCACGAGGATTTTAGCTTTCAAATGGTGTATCATATATATTGCCAATGTTTTTTTATATGATTGCTCTGCTGTTGCTGCACCTTTCCTTCAGTCCCAGAAGGAACAGTTTGGAAATTCATGAAGTATTAATACAGGAGAGATGGAAGAAGAAGTTCATGCTTCTCAAATAGCATGAATGAGTTGCTACTTTCAGACAAGTCAAAGAATTGCATGAATTTAATTTGAGTATTTTTCACCAAAAGTAATATACAAAATACCCAGTTTTAGTTCTGTTCTGTTCTGTTCTGTGGTCCTTTTTAAAAGACTATCTGTGGTGCACTTTTAGCATCTCCTCACCCTCCTTTTCTGTTTTGGTCCATAAATTTTATCTACCCCTTCTCCTCCTCTCTTCACTGAAGCTTTTCCCTCTGAGGAAAAGGTGGCTTAAAGGTATATTCTGATCGATCTTATTGTTTGCTGCGTCAAGGCAGTACTTATCCTTAGTAAAATAAAGTTGTATTCTTTCTATACTGTATTTGACCAAAATAGCTTTGAGGCATACATTAATAAAGCTGGAGGGTTTGTAAACGTTTGGCTTTTTACATGTTCTGCTATGCTCCTCAGAATATATTCTACAGAAACTGAGCTGTCTAATATGAATGATATATCATATTTTGGAGCCTTATATATATATATGTCAGTAGAGACTAAATGGCAAACAATGCACCAATGCTCCAACCTGCTGCTAGCTTCATATTTACCGTACAGACCTAAGTCAATCCTCTCATCTAACTCTCCACAAGCATATTTCCCAAATTTGATTGAACTTTTCCTTTAAAAGATACACATTTGTTTGTTTGTTCCCGCTGTGGTGATTGTATCTTGAAATGGTTTGCACTGGTCAAATCATGAGGATTTTAGCTTTCAAATGGTGTATCATATGAGTATGAAGTTAACATAGGAGTTGTGTGCACATACTGAAAGCTGCCGCCAGGACCTGACGGCCTGCGGGCTTTCCTTTGGTATGTTAAGAGGTTCAGTGTGTAAGTTTTAGTGGCATCTAGTGGTTAGGGTTGTAAATTGCAACTAACAGCTCACTATGTTTTCACTTGCTATTTGGACGAAATAAGTACTTTATAATAAATGTATCTATTCCAATGGCAGTTGTAAATTCAGCAGTAAAAAACCTACCTTTGTACTTTTTTCCCATGAGGTTGCACATTATATCAATTTCATTTCTAAATCCAATAACATAAAGGCTGTGAAAACTGTCAGCATATGGCTCTGTCTCTGTCGGATCTTGTGCTGAATAATACACATGGTCCTCTATATGTATTCAATGTAGAGACGAAATGCGCTCTGTAGAGCAGTTTGTCAATTTAGGCTACTGTAGAAACATGGCGGCGCTACATGGCAACTTCCATGTGAATGGACCTGCAGTGTATGTAGATAGAAATGGCTCATTCTAAGGTAATAAAAACATAACGGTTCATAATGTAAAGTCTTTATACACCACTGCAAACATAGTTATATATATTATATTGCATTTATGTCAATAGATCCTCCCAAATACTACACACTGGACCTTTTAAGATAATAAAAGTCTTAGTTTACCTCTGATAAAAAGGTAATGTAATGTTTGTAAAACGTAAAATAACACGGTATGTTCAAGTGTTGTAAGAGACTGTCCCGAGGTTTTATTTTTATATACCTATAGATGCAAATGTTCTCAAGAATGATATGTGACCTTCTTATTAACTATAGTTAGGGAAGCTGACACAGCTGCTGTTTTGACATTTCCCTGTGGGACAAGCGCCTCCTGGTTATTACTCACTAATTCACAGAGAAAACATGAAATAATTTTACATGATTGAAATGACCTCAGCAAAATCACTTTCTAATCAGCAATACTAGTCATAGTTTTTTGGTGAATCTTGAGCCAAAGTGACATGGGGTTGTTATTGGAATGGAAAAAGACATGACAGTCAAAACAACAAAGATGGTGTTTGAACTGGCAACAAGTCTGTAGTGACTGATCATCAGTGATTGGAAACAGACAATAATAGACTGGACTGCAGTCATAAGGGAAATTGAAAATTCTCAGTGACCGTCTCTTTTATTTGAGCCACCATATCTTCGCTGTTATGATGAAACTGAAGGAAAAGTTGTCTTTTGTTTTTATATAGATATGTATGCATATTGAAGAGAAGAAGATGTTTTCCAAACATCTATCAGCTGAGGCATCATCCTAATCCTCAGGTTTATGCAGACACAAGACAAAGTAAATTTAATTATAAGAAACTGGAATAATGGACATCTTAGTGATAAAGGTACACAAGGACATTTGGAATAGGCTATTGGGTTGTATTTGGCATATTTCTTATTATGCTGCTTGAACCATGAAGGAGCCATGTTCTGTTTCTGCTGTTGTAATACCAACTGGGAACCAGTAGAGGTTAATAAAAGCCATCCATCACTGAATGCTTCTCATGTGACAACTGAACATGCACAACTGAACAGGGTAGATTAAAAAAAGACAAAAGGAGATCGAAAAGTTGTGGTTCTGTTGGAAAGAGGATATGTTTTAGATCATTCGAGAGAACATTAGTAGAAATTCAGCTCTGTAGCTTCATTAGCATACGTATCTAAGTGCTGTTTATTTAGATAAGAGCCTGGCAGTATAGTGTTCTGGTGTGTCTGTGTGTGTGTGTGTGTGTGTGTGTGTGTGTTTATCTCCTTGAATTCGCATTGTTAATCTTGTGACGCAAGTAATAAGCCATTTACATTTTTGGGTCATCTGGTCTGTCCCCTTTATTTATATCTGCCTGTATTTTTCCATGTAGATCTCTCCTATTCTCTCTCACACTATGTAAATCTTTTCCTCAGCTTAGTAAAGAACAGAAACCCATTTAAATAGTCCAGCAGTGTGGGAAATATACTTGTTTGCCTTCTTATCCACAGTCAAACAAGAAGATTCATATCAGTTTCTGCATCAAATAGAAACATTTTTTAGCCTAATAGCCTACCTCCTTTGAAAAACACCCCTTCCAGCAATCAAACTGTTTTACTTGTTTTACTCTGGAAATTTCTAACAGATTTTGTAATGGTTTGTGGAAAAACACGTTTTGTTTAATTTGGTTTTGATTCAAGACCAATAAAGTCAAAGGTTGGAATTAGTATGGACTGCCTGCAGTACTTATGTGCCAGACTATTTCTTGGCTCTCAACATCTACAGGCATTGTCAATTATGTGTTCTTTTATTAACCACTACACATCTTCAATTCTTCACACAAATACACTTTTCAACACAAATGTCTTGTCCATGTGTTTTGTTGAACAACATGGTTCATATTAGGATTGAAAAGGTTTCTAAGTCTGGGCTTTTTTTTAATTGCACAGGAAATAACACATGGAGAATGTCTCTCCAGCATCGGCTTACTGAAGCCATCCATCTGCCTTTGCAGCAACAGAGAGGATCAGGAGGCAGGAGGGACGGGGGAGAAGGAACACAAGGTAGACAAGAGAAAAAATGTTGTTTCTATGGATCTACATGCACAGACTAGAGCTTTAATATTTATACTGTTAAGTTGATTAAATCTTTTTGGGCTTACAAATGGCCATACTTCTAAATTAATATAACAAACTATCAAATCAAATTCCCCAAAATCCTTTTTACTTTCATCTGCCTTAGTGAAGTGTCAGTAGAAAATAAGGGAGACCTGCAAACCCTATAACAAGGTGTGCTTTTGCTTACTTTTGATGAATAAGATTAAATTGAACCGGCTTTATTGAATAAGCTATATATTCTATGTATATTTTCAAATGAAGCATTGAAGAATTTCACTATACTTTTAGACTTAGTTTGATCTTCTCAGCTGAGCCACCAGGACAGCAGAGACGTGTCAGACACTCCTCCAGACCCTGAACATCATTTTTTCTCAAAGCAAGCAAACAGCACCATACAATGCAAGCAGCATACAGTGAGGCAGCACTGTTTATTCAGGTACTGGTTCAGGAAACAATACTGTAACATTTGTTTTCTCTATTCATTAAGAGGCAGAAAGGATCATCTTTTCGTGTTTTACAACACTTCAGTAACAGGCAATTTTAGCTGCAGTTGTGTTTGCAGCTGGGTATAATTCAGACATCAGGGCGAGTCATGACAGTTATCGTTGGCTGTTCTTTCTCACAAGCACCAATTATATTTCCACCTTTGGCTGCAATCCGATAGCGTTCATATATCATTTCAGTGCATGCTGTGTGTGTTTACACTTTGGATGAACTTGTTTAACCTTCTCCAGATAAGACTTTAAAGATTTTTATCACATTATTATGAGGATGGTTGCTCTAAGATCCATTTTGAATGTTAGACTCAACCTAAAGGAGAACAAACATACATACCAATCGCCCTCTGTAAACCGCTGTATAATTTGTGGCTCTGGAGGAGCTTTGTCAAATCTTAGAAAAACAAGTCCTGGTGATGGCACAGTTATCTTAGTATGCTTAGAGACTACGAGTTCTTAATGTAAAGTGTACCTTTTAAATGAACCTTATAAGACTTAGATTAGATTAGATTAGATTAGATTAGATTAGATTAAACTTTTTGTCATTATGCAGAGTATTGGTAAAGAGCCGATGGAATGAGGTTAGCATCTAACCAGAAGTGCAGAAACAAAGTTTTTTATCCCGGTAAGTGCATTTATACTATATAGTATACGATATATCCTATTCAATGTAATTGAATATATTAAAAATGTATAGAAGAGAAGTAGACAGAGTTAGAGAATGGAGATTGCAAATGGAAGGTTGTATGTACAATATGAACAGGATCTATGCATTTGTAAGTCTGCAGTATAACTATGTATACACAGTAGGTTATATGTACAGTTGGGTATATGTACCGTAACATTATTAAACAATGTTCAGTCTGTGCAAAAATATGAATAGTGCAAATAACATTTATGGGCAGTGCATTATGAGTGCAAAGGGTCTATTTGATTGAAGGTGTGGAGTTCAGCAGGGTCACAGCCTCAGGGAAGAAGCTCTTCATGAGCCTGCTGGTGCGATAGCGAAGGCTCCTGTAATGCCTGCAGGATGGGAGGAGGTCAAAAGTTCATGGTTAGGGTGGGAGACATCCTTAGTGAAAAATGTGGGCATTTAACAGAGAGGCGGCGTCTTACAAGAGGCATTATCAACTGTGCTACATGGATCTATTAAGCTTTGGCCACAGCGTTGACACTTTTAGACATCGAAAAGCCTCAAAAGTTTGTGGCCAGCAAAAGGAAGGCAACATGAAATGTTGATTTTGAAAGGTAATTTTGAAGTAAATATGTTTTTAGCAGTACCGTTACACTGTCTCACCCATGGGTTCTGCGTCATTTCATGGCATATGTTGACCCAACGCATCATCTCAATGCGTCATAACTGACGCTTTCAGACAGCATGACAAAGCGTAAGGATTTTACTCTAAAGGTACCCCTCAGCGTCCGTATGAAACGCCCCCGTTTGCTACAGCAACACAAGGGAGGCTAACCCTACCTGTTAGCACATCGGCCGTGCACGCTTTGTCACTCTTTGTCAAATCGTCGGTATATGACGCCCTGAGATGGGAACAGGCTCGTTGACCACATTTCTCTCATGGTTATCAACTTTTGTCTGGGACAGCCCACAATTGCAGTGTTAATGGACTGCAGTCTCTAAACTCTTTCCCTGCTCAGTGTAGCTCCACAACATTGTTAGCATCGGTTTCCTAAGTTGCTGCAATGGAAAAACAGCTCCAGGTTGTGAGGGTGGATTATTTTATTTTATTTTTGAGCACCTGCTTAACTCTCTTGGCCATGACCACAACTAAGAATGAATGAATTCTGTAGACCATTTTAACATACTGTACTCGAAACCAGCTCCAGATAACATGATCAGGAACTATAGATTCAAGTTAATGACATATTACTGTTCATCTGCAGCTCAGCTCAAGATAAATCCTTCTTTGTTTCTCTGTATTTTTGGTAAAAGACTTTATCTATTTATTTGTCTCTTTTTTTGGAAGCTCTTCTGAAAATTTTACAAGTCCTGACAGAAACCTGGAACACATCTGAACAGATTCCAAGTCAGCTGCAAGCTAAGAGATGAAACCCTCTGGTGAGGTGAACTCTTCTGTATGTTCTTGTGTGTTTTTGTGCTGGCTTGTTACTTTACACCTTCTGACAGTGAGTCATGACTCATGAACATCAGCGAACATGACAAACACAAACTCATTATCTTGAAGAGTTGCACACAAATACAGTTCATTCAAACTGCAGGTCGTATAGAAAAATAATGACTTGTTTCTTGTCCTCCTTGTCTTGTCACTAGTGACCAGTACCTGGGGATGGTGTTTCCGTGAGGGGAAATCAGAGGTCTAACGTGTTAGTTTGTGGGTAGGTATTATTAAAGTCTAATAAATAGATGCCTGTAAGATTTACTGTGGATATTCATGATCCCCAGAGGATGGATCTCAATTTGACCTCCAAACCTGTTACCTGTGTGCCACCACAAAGGACACACTTCAGAATTGATGTTTTGTATTTTACTATTTAAAATGAAATTTTTAAAAAGTAATGTTTGCAAAGCGTTTTATTAACGCTTAATAAATGTCCTTATTTAGTCATGTTCCCCCTTTACTATTTTCTCTCCCTCTTTTCTTAGAATTTCCATGCTCCATCAGCTGTGTCCAACGTAACCTAGATGCAAGTGCAATGAGCAGTCAGTTTTTAGAATCGGCCTTAATATCGTGTAAAAAAATTACGTAACATCAACAGAAGCCAGGATCAATGTCATAAAATTCCTCAAAATAGGACACGTCCTGGGACTGAACATATGCTGCTTTCATGCTGAATTTATTGCAGTCAGAGCATGATGGTGTGGTTGGTTTTTTCCTGTTGACCTAACATCCCTGTCATGGACCTGTACACACATTAACACACTTACAGACATGCGAGTGTGTAAAGGTGTCTGAATTCTTGTATAACAGAATTTACCATTATCTTTTGTTCAACTTACTTTACATGAATACACCTTGTACACCAATGTAAGTGGTCTATTCTGTTGTCTCACCATGGCGAGCACTCATGAATCTCGAGACCCATGGACAATTATGTGCACTCACATACTTTTCTACAGATACAAATGTCAAAACAGATAGTCTGTGAGTCTCTCTGCTAACCACTAATGGCCTGTGTGTTTATGTGCTAACTGACATGTATATATGGGATTTCAAGTAGGGCCCCCTACATGCACGCAGATACTTGCTCTCTATCTTTCTGTACAAGTATTTCCAGTCTAGAGTCTGGATTAATGAAAAGTTATGAAAAGTTTCTCTTGTAGAAGCCATGCACATCTAAACAAGCCACAACTGATGTTATCATGTTTGATGTTTGTCTGGACTGTTCTTTTCATGTTCCAGCAGGTAATTTCACATCACTGCACAAGTTCAGCCAGTGTATAATATTCACCTTAGGACTGTATAATGAATGATAGTCTCTTTCAGTTTGGAGTTTACATGAGGATTATTCAATAAAATAATTTTATTTTGAAAGTACCTATGGTGTGAGAAGACTGTTGTATGTCATGCCTCACATAGTACTGATCTAGAATCAGTTTGGACTTTGAAATGTTTTATTATTTGAAAGTCTAGTCGTTTAGATGTATCCAGGCACAAAGTACATTAGTTATGGAGCAGTGTAAGGATGTGCTCAAACTGTATTTAAAGTAAATTACAGAGGCAGCACAACTGCATATAATGTCAGTACAAACATGAAGGTGACTTAAATGGTTTTACAAAATTACCACAAGAGAAAGGAAAATTGCGCCCTGGAGGAAATAAAGGAAAGAGATCCAACCTCCAGTCATCCCTTCACTACAAAGCCTTCCTGCCAGCACTCTTTAGCCTGATGTCCGTAAACATATGAAAACAGCGTGATGTGAACATGACAGTTTAAAGAGCAATTACATCTCTGCCCTGGGCAGTTAGCCTCACCCTTAACCTCACCCCAGAAACCTCAGAGGGATTATCTCTCATACCTGCGTGTTCTTCTGCCTGTCCGCCTATTTTTGCATACCTTTCTGTTTGTTTGTCTGTCAGCTGCTTAGCTACTCAGACTCACACAGAGCTACACACACCTTTTTAATGTCCACATAATACATTATGGTAAACTGTACAAACAGGTACATTCCAATTTCACAGGTTTATTCATGGCTTCTGCAGTAATCTGTTGCAGAGGAAATAACAAAACATAGCCGCTGCTTAGCATCCCATTATTACTAGTAATAACTTCCCAACATCTGCACACCTGTCTGTGTGCAGAAAACATCATTATGTTCCTGCAGTTAGCTTCAGCACCTGCCTACCTGTCTGTGTACGTGTCTGTCTGCCAGCTGACCTGTCTGCATGAAAATGACTAAGATGTCTTTCTCTCACTATCTTCTGACTGTTGAAGGGAACTGGGGTACCTGAAGGAAACCTAGACAATCTCTCGGACAACATGCAAATAAGTAGATTGCAAATAGATGTTGGACGTCCACCTGAAGCTAATTTGCCAACAAATATGTTACGAAATAATCTTCTACATAATAAATACCTTTCATTAAGAAATTACATTGTATGATTTTACATGTTTTCGCGGTTTAATATACTTTATTTCCACCTATTCAAAGTCTGTTAATCAAAGGTTTCATTTATTGTAATAATGTAGCTGACTGAAGCTACGGTACTTGAAGCAATATGATGATGATTTGCGCCACCAAACAAGCAAACGCAAATACACACAGACTTATATTATTTTACGTATATGAGGAGTTTTTGTTTGCTAAAGTACCATCCATTGACTGTTGGAGGAAAAAAAAGTGGACATCTACCACCGAAATCCATCTTTAAAAGAGAAGTAAATTTATTGTGACAGAAGTAAACAATTGTGATGGTAACTTGCACAGATGTTATATTAATACTGTATGTTATTTACAAACATGACAAGTTTTTTATTCTTTTCAAACAATTTACAGTCTTTTTGGTTCAGTTTTGCCTGTTTTTGAGCAAAAAAAAATTTAATTGATTATCTATTTAATAAAAAGCATGTTATTTATTTTTGGCTATGTAGGAACGCAGATCACCACGAATACATCATCATTCAAATGAACATTGTATATTAACATTTTTAAATCAGGAAGTATCATATTTCTCCAGCATGGGTGTTTTACATCAGAACACTTTGCCACCACAATGTTCTGACATTCTTTGATAAATCAGAAGAAATCTGTTGGAATTGCTTTCTGGCATAAAAGAGGAAGCGGGTGCTCATCTTCCAGTGGTAATAAAGGTCAAGGACAAGTTTTTGTCAGGAACAGAGACATCACCTGCAACATCTCAGCAAACCTTTGACTAAAGGCATACCAGTATATTTGATAGCATGTACAAGCTGACTACTTATCCAAGCTGCAAGCTGACTATTAAAATACGTATATCTTAAATTACACTTACTTTGGAGGCCATATTGAGCTGTTTTTGTATGCATAGAGACACAGACATAGAGTTTATGCACTGATGGGTATAACCTGCCTGAAAAGTTTTTGTGTGTTTTAGTTACAGACTGCAGCCTGTATCAACACACTCAGTCTGGCTGCCAACCCACATCAAATATACTCCCTCTCTTTTTTCTGTCTCTTGTTGCACTTTTCCACATATCATTCCTAAAAGCTAAACAGCCCCAACCTACTTCCCACACCCTCTGCCATGTTTGACTCTGGGGTAAACTGAGCAATTTCCCTGCAAATTAGGTCTGCACTTACGCCGCTGCCAAGTCCACTAAAAGCCATTAGACACAGTGCATGTTAGATTGCCGACACAAATGGGGTTTACAGTCTAGCACGCAGTCCAGGTTTGTGTAACTAGACATAGTCCTTCTCTTTCTGAGGAATTCAGTCATGTTGAAAGAATCGGTGAGGTGGCCACAGGGGCTGGCAGTGTAGCCGAAGTGTTCTGATAACCACTTTCTGTAAACAGCTGTTGTTACTTGATCAAGCAAAAGAGTCAAATCTTTTTATTATAAGTGTAAGAATATGAAGTGTTTATTGCCAAAAACACAATCTTTTGAAATGCATGGTGATACTTCAGGCTGGCAAAATGATTTGATATTAGGGTTTCTATTATTTTGATTTGCCACTAAATGATAACAATCGTGAATATTTCCTTTCCTTAAGGAAACAAATTGATGCAATGGATCTTATTAATTGTTGATAATCTGTTATGTATTCTAGTATATATTATTTTTCTTTAACCAACTGTATAAATGCATTGGTTAATGGAACAAGAAGAAATTCAACATAAATGTACTGTAACGGACTGGATGACTGGTTTTCCCAATGATCCAGGATGTGTTATGACTGTCCAAGCAATATGTTTAGAAGCCTGTCAATCAACGGTGTTCCTACCTGTGATTGGCAGAGATTAAGGGAGATGGTTGTTATTGTTCCTGCTAGGCCAAAGGGTGGGTGAGTGTGTGTGAGTCAAGTAGGAGCGGGACAGAGAGTCAAGAAGGAGAAGTTAACTTGTTACTCGGCGACAGCAGAGTTGTTTTGGCGTTGGCTACGGCCCACAGTAGCCTGTATTTTGTTCAGTAATAAAGCACGAGCAGTGCCAGCTATCATCTCGTAGCTTCTTATTTGAGGGACACTACAGTATTTTATGTCCCCTGTAACAATTAAATGCAACAACATAAAAAGGGAAACTCTCTTCTGGACTGCTCCCCACTCTGTATTGCCTCTTGTGGGGGTCATAAGTGACCATTGTTTCATTTACTGTAGAGAGTTTGTTTTAAGCAAAAAATTAAGTTCTTTAAGGCAGTGATTCCCAACCAGGTCACAGGTCATTCCCAATACTGCTGCAGTTTCCAGATGGTACTTGGAAAGTCTGTGGAGTAGCTTAACTAATTAAAAAAATATATAGTAAATATTTTATATACATATATTTGTGTTTATGAGGAAAATAAACGCTCAAATAAGGTTACAATTTGTGGAATGCTGATCTGTCAGACATTAACTGTCACCTTAACCAGTAAAGTACCAACACATCCTAATTTCATCCTAATTTTGTCTTTTATTACACCTTAACTTTTAGAGTGTGTGCAACTACTTAGGAAACAAGCAAGTCAAGTCAAAACAGATGGTTAAAAGCAATGGCTAAAAAGTTAAAATGTCCAGCTCTTGTCAGTCTGGGACACGTGAACTTTTTCAAACCTACTGAAACACAATTACAGGCCTACAGCCATGCTAGCAGCTCTGTGAGGCTGCGCTTTAAGCTAAATGCTCACAATGACAATGCTAACATGCTGATGTTGAGGAGGCCAATGTTTAAACTTAATTTAGCATGTTAGCATGCTAATATTTGGTAATTGGCAATAAAAAGTGCAGCTGAGGCTAATGGGAGTGTCAGTAGTTTTACAGGTACAGGGTTTTTCCTGGCTCAGCATGGGCCTTTGGGGGGTGACTTTGCACGACAGTAAGAATGATGGGTACACGTTCAGTAATGGCAATGACTTGCCTAATGACCGAAATCTATGCATTTTCTTGTTCTTTCTGACCATTTGATAAACAAAATATATATATAACATTAAATAGAAAGTTTATTAGTATAATAATATATTTACAGGTTACACTTTATTTGGATAATCTGCCTATAGATAGTTTATTAGTAGAGATTTAGCTGTTTCACGAATAAAACCATTTTCTGATATTAGCATACACCACTGTGGTTAAGGTTTGATTAGTGCTAATGTTTGTGTATTCATTGTAATTTCAGATAACAGTACAGTTTACCATTAGTAGCCTAATATTTATTCCAGTTGGACAAAACAGCAGTTTCTGTGGGTTGTTTTCAGTCACTAAATTATTGTGCAAGCAAAATGCTCTACATGGTCAGTCTCTCATTTGTTTAAGCAAATTAACTTGTCAGAAATAAAAAAAAAATGCATACAGAACGAGTTAAACATTTCTAAAGTTTGCTGTAGTGCCTCAACCTTTTTTGAACGTCCCGCCTCCTCCAGGCTGTGATTGGTTGGTTAACAAAAGCGACTATAGTGCCACTATACACACGGCTGTTTGAAAGGCTCCCGATCTCCCTGCGGAGATTAGCAGGCAGGCGAGAACGGGAGCAGGTGAGCGTCACGTAGTGCCCAGAAAACCTGATGTGGAGAGGTCAGAGGAGAGGACCGGTGCCGGTACGCCAAAGAGTAAAATGTAAAAGTGACATCACCGTCATTAGCGCGAACTTCGTCGCGGAGCGTTCAGGCGCAGTTAAACCAACGCAGCACCTGATTTATTAAACCAGCGCCAGCATGTGTAAAGTACAACGGCGCTGGATGAGAGGAGAGGTGACTGCTGAAGTCAAGACGTTGTATTTAAGTTTAAGTTGTGCTTGCTCA